CTGCAAAGACTCAACGTCAGCCAAGGCGAGTGAGAAAAGGAAGGGTGCGCCGCTCTACATTGTGTACAATTGCGCGTGTGAGTTCTGCATTGGCAATACCACAACTATATCAACAACACGCTCGGTGAGGTGAGCATCTACAACATATCATCGATACCAAACCCTCACGCAACAAAAACTGCTACTGCTACTACTACTACTACTACTACTACTACTACGACTACTACCACCACCACTGCTACTACTACTACTATTGCTACTGCTACTGCTACTGCTACTGCTACTCCTACTCCTACTCCTACTACTACTACTACTACTACTACTACTACTCCTACTATTACTCCTACTATCACTCCTCTACTACTCCTGCTGGTACTGCTATCACGACTACTTCTACGACTACGACTACAACGACTACAGCTACAACAACAACTAAGACACTACTACTACTTCTACTACTACTACTACTACTACTACTACTGCTACTACTACTACTACTACTACCACCACTACTACCACCGCTACTGCTGCTACTGCTGCTGCTGCTGGTACCTTCACCATCACGTTGAACCGCAAAGTTTTACATGGACGCGGATTACAGTGCGCAGAGCTGCCCTCAACCGAATTTTGGCAAAATCAATGTATGCCAGATGTGTAGGTCGGACCTAAACGAGCCAAAAAAGTAATTGACACTCTAAGAAACGATCATCAAACATGTCGAAAAGTTTACCACAACATGCATGCACAAGAAACGTATCCCGCTGAGACACATACAAAGGCTGATCCAAAGGACCCTTTGCGACGAAAAGTGAAATAGTTTTCGAAGCAAGCACTGGTCTGCCACGATCCGCACACAAACGGCTTGGAAAGCCGAGAGCATCTTGGTTATAAAGAAACATTTGGACTTGCTTTCCGACTGCTAGGACATGAAAAACCCATGATGACAACTATCATGAACATCGCGAGCGCATCATACAGAGTTCGCTCGCCTCTGATCCGTTTCCCAGCGAGTGTCCAATTGCCTTCAGCGTGTGTTTCCTACATTACGCTAGATTTCTGTGCTCAGATTGGTAGTTTCATTTGAGCATTGGGGCAGGTTGAGATGGTGGGTGAGTTCCTTGACATCCTCCATTCGGGCAGCAGCGCTGTGCCCGGGATGCACTATTCCAATTCTATTCTTGGCATGAGGCTGCAAGGTTTGCGGAGGCGTAGTGTTCGCCAGCCAGCCCTGTTGCCAGAGGTCCCATGGCGTCGCCATGGCAATGCTTTCTGTATGATGGTCTCTCATGCCATGCGCAGGTGAAGCAGATGATCATGGGAGTCGACCTGAGTTTGCCCGCAGATCCGGCGCAAGAGCTGTCACATAGGACATATCTATGCATTTGCTACAGTCGGCCTGGCGAGCAAGAAGAAGTCTTTCTTGTTCAGGACCATGAGTGTCGATGTTGCCTGAAGGTCAGGGCAAGACTACGGTGGTCACACCTCTTCTCTCTTTCGTCCTGGCGGATGCTGAGCGGCTCATTGTGATCGCTCTGCCCTCAAACGAAGGCAATTGCATTGAATCGCTCAAGAATTGGATTATCCTGTGGGTTTTTGTGATGCTGTCTACTCGTAGGGCACTCTTTACTTGTTTAACATCCAAAAATCTTTGGTCATCAAGACGGCGAAAAACAGGACTTAGCGGACTTCAAGCTAATCTCCAAGCTGCCTGATTGGCAGTGTCGTCAGGATCGACTACGTGTGCTGTAGGTTCCGTTTGAGTGCCAGGAGTTCCTGCTTTCCGAAATCCGTAATGAAAAGAGGCCTATCGGAGTCGTGAGGGTGCTACCACCTCTGTTGCTGGCCACACCCATTCATGCTGTTTCTCCCAGCATTCCAGGGTGTCTTTTACCACTGGTTTGTTCTGCGAGGGAGGAAGCTAGAGGGGTCCCCAATCCTAATACCTAGGCTACCCTGTGAAACCCCACTCTAAGCCAGCCCAGGTGGTTCCTCACGCCCTCCTGGAGTTCTCGCGGTCGGTGCTGCAGGGCACCTTTGCCTCGGTTGTCCAGAAGCAGGCGATGAGTTTAAGGTGTCAGACTTAGGTGATTGGTGCTTGTAGTTTCGGTCAGCATTAGCGTTGTAGCTTATACGTTTGGGGATTAAGTTACGGTTTAGTGGGGTCAACCGAAGGTGTGCACTGGGCTTAAGATTTGAATGGACCAGGGCCGAGGCGCTCTTACCTCGTGCGAAGTGCCCGAGCTCGCAGCATTCAATTCAGTTCAGAGAGAGGGTAGGCTTGCATTTGCGGTGAAGGCTAGGCTTCCGAAATTGCAAATTGAAAAGTCGGCACTAACGGACGCTTCAATTCCAACATGCGTCGGGAAGGTCTCCACATTCAAATGTGATCGTGCCGTGGACATCGACTTCAACTTCTCGTTGACAGTGGATGCTGCCCGGAGCCATGAGAGTGTGCTCACGCGAAGTGTCCATGAGTTCTTTGAATCCTACACCGTCCTTCACGACAAGCTCTCGAACTCAGCCGAAAGTCTCCACACTGTCCTGCCGATCCTTCAAAATTGAAGCTCCCATCGCGCTGTGCAGAGCTCCCTCAGCAGGCTTGAACCCGAAACTCCGTGAATCCCGATGCTGATGGTCAAGATTGTCAGCATTTCTGTAGTTTCAATTTCAGACATTATTTCCCTAGTCGTCACCACCATATCATCAGCATCATCAGCTTCATCGTGAGCCTGCAAGGTGCGACAGCAGGGCGACTTGATCGTGACTACTCCCGGAGACGCGAGGAACCGAGTCCGGTGCAGCCATGGGTTGCCACCCCAACAACTTCTATCCTTGATGACGTGTGCTGCTTGTTTTTCCGTTTGTGTTGCTGCAGGTACTATTGATGATGTTCATGATGATGTCGCACCATCACCATCATCACCGTCGGCGTCGGCGTCGCCTCTGTCTGATCATACTCGTCATCCGTGTCGTTCTTGTCCTCAGGCTCTCTAGCTTCCTCCTCATGCTCGTCCTTCTCCTTGTTCAGCTTGGCCCATGCCATCTTCCAAGTCTCGTTCATGGGAGCGCCGACATGGTCAGCATATGCTCGATCACCACCAGCGTCTTCACTGTCTTCTTTTTCATATCATCGTCGTCAACATTGCCAGGGTATCAACGCCACGATCGCCTTGGTTCTCGGAAAACATCTTCTGTCCCATCACCGCGGGGTGGATGATGTTGTGCTGATGATGTTCAACATGATTTTGCTGTCAGGACTGGTATCATCAGCATGATCCCGAAGCTCAGGTGAAGTCCCTCCTCCTGCGCTTCCTGGAGCAGCTCGAGGTCTCCAGCGACAGGCTCGGGCTGTCGAAGAGCATCAAGCACCGCAGCCCTGACGACTTTGACGAGAGACGGCAAAACATTCGCGCAACCTGCTGGCACGAAGGCTGCGAGTACTAGGACGGTAGGGAATGCTCTGCGAGTTCGACGACGACAGCATCCACCGCATGCCAAGAGCATGTCCACCAGCACCACCACCGCTGTCGCCACAGTCACCACTGCCAGCGCCAGCTTCTGCTGTGGACCAGCGACACGTAGCAAGCCGAAGTTGTCCTGTGCAGTGCCGCAGGCGCTCCAAGAAGAACACGCCCCAGCCACTCGGCCTGTTCTGCCTTCGCAAGGATGTGATCTTTGTGCTGCTTTGTAGGCTTAAGGTTCGGGTTGCCTCCCTTTTTTCACACCCTGATGGAAGATTGAGACTTCAGGAAGCCGGGATGCTGCTTTGTCCCGGGTGCAGTCGTAGTGAGCTGTCCTACAGACCATGTGGGCCAAGTGGCGACCTTGACGCTTTGACTCTGTTGGCCCAAGAGCCCAAGATCGGATCGAGGCTGCGAAGGGAGACCCTGGAAATGGGCAAAGTCCTGCAGATGCTACGGAAGCAAAGCGTGGGGCACTCTGAGGGGTTTCCGCTGTAACATTCAAGTCTTGCGGGTGTTTGTGGGATTTTGAATTTGGGTTTTGGGTTGCGTAGACGTGGTGTGCTTGGGACCTGAGCTGAACTGCAGTTCGCGGCGCATTTGTTAGACCTCTGTTTGGGTTGTGTGGTCTAGCGAGGATTTTTTTGCTCTTATGGGAAGGCTTTGCAAAGGCTTGCTTTCCTGGGCGGCATAGGCAGACCCGGACTGGAGGCCCCACGATTGCAGAAACACACGGGCAGCTCCGTTGTTTTAGCGCGTCAAACCACCTTTGCGAGGTCTGCATGATTGATGAGGTGGATCTCGTGCTGCAGCTAACTCAGCTCGCACACAACATTGACGTTGACATCTTCTTGAGCCCAAGGCTCTGAGTTTCAAGTTCAGCACGACCAAGCCATGGACAAGTGGTGCTATCCTGCGACTCCTTTTTGACGACAGTGACCGCCACAGCTGACTGCAGATGAGACCAAGGCATCCGCTCAAGTCGGAGCTGAATTTCCCGACAGGGCCGAAGAGCTGGGACCACGGTTTAGGGGGTTCGTGTCTTGGGTTTGCTGCTGGGAGTGTATCAAATGTCGGCCCTGGTAGAAGTATGCTAAAGTCTTCGGCTCAAGCATAATCCTATTTTGCATAAGGTTCACTTATTCTCATCCTCATTATCATTTTCCTCATTCCCATGCTGCTCATCATGCTTATCTGTACACTATAGACTTGCTGGGAGGATCTGTGAGTGGCTGAAGTTTTTAGGATTCGGCTGCGGCCGACATGCGACTTTGCCAGTGCCACCTGCGGCAAGAGTGAACTGAGAAGCCGGCAGAACTGTCTTATGTCTTGAGGCCTCATTCATCATGCGCCTGAGCGTTGGCGCCGGGGCCTTGTCTGTCACTGCACGGATGTCACGATGCAAGAAGCGCGATGCCTTGCATGGAGTGTGGCTTAGCAACATGTCACGAGCCAATCTTGCACCCTCGAATTCTCAACCTGCGTTGCTGACTTGGGCAGCGGCAAAACCAATTTCCAACTGCGTGCCCTCAGTGTACTATGCAGTGAATGGGGAAACCTCTAAAACACTTCATCAAGGGTATATAGCTGCTGCTGCATGCTTCAAGCTCAAACCAAAACCCCAAGCCCTGAAATCTCTCAGCCCTGAAAAACCTTGCACCCCTCCCCTACAATACTATAAACCCTCTTCTGCAAGGCCCCAAAATCCCTGAAGAAGGCCTGCCTTTGCACATCTTGGACGGTTTCTTTGCAGCGGAAGACTCAGCCCGGACGCCGGCCAGAGCCTGAGGTCTTCTAGAAGTGTAGGGCCTTCTGGCGTAGGTAGGTTTAGGGTTTAGGGTTTAGGGATCACAATTACTTAGAATCATAGTCAATAGTCATAGTCATGATGCTGATACTTGCAGTATTCAGGAAGAAAAGGGCAACATAGTTTGGCTAATTGTAGTCACCGCAGAAAGAGCTCATCGCAGAATGACATGTTACTTGATGTTTTCCTGGCTTCTCGTGAGAACTGAGATGAATATAGTAAACGATATGGATTACTAGTAGTCTTGGTCACATCCGGGTGCCCGGCGCTCTTGCCGGGGCTGAAGAGCAACTCCTATCGATAGCAGCCGTTTGTTTCTATGCATTTCGTGCGTGCAGGTTTGAGGCTCGTGCGCATTGTGGACTTTCGGTAGAAGCTTTGTAGCTCTAGTTGTGAGCTAGGTGGTAGCTCGCCTTGTGGAATACATTGACAGACTGTGGCACTCAAGTGTGGCACTCAGGCCCTTCCCCCTAAACTTCCATGACTCAAACAGCTTGGGGATCCTAGCATGACAGGGGTGCTCCGACTCTGGTCTAGAGACAAGTTCGACAGAAAGATAAATGACTTACTTTCCCACGCAGCATGCCCGAAGCTTAAACGTTATCCCGAAGCCCCAAAGCCCTAAACCCTGTAGTATAGAGCCCCTGCTAGATCCCTTCTCATTCAGGAAGCCCTCAAACCTTTAAAGATCGGTACTCAGGGGCTGAGTAGGTAACCTTTAACCTTTTGGGGCTTATATAATCCTACTATAATTCAAAAGGCTAACCGTTTGTTGGGCTAGGGTACTCAGCCGCTAAGGGTAAAGCCCGCAAGCCCCCTCTGAGGCCCAGCTCAAAGAGTCGCACTCAGCGCGGCAGATTTTGCGGACGCTTTCCCAGGCCAACGGAAGCCTCTTGCCGGAATCCTACTTGCAGGATCATGGGACTTAGTAAGTAAGGCTATAAGTACCCTAATGGGAGTTACGAGTAATCATAAATACAGTTGCCTTGTTTGTTTATTTTTTCATAAACTAGGTAGTGCTTTGGGACATTTTATATTTTCTCTTCTTGGGCTTAAGAGGATCTTACCTACTAATATTTTTCAAAGGCTTTAAAAGCACATCCTAGTAAACCTAGTTACTAAGTCCCATGATCCTCCAAGCAGGGAGCCTCAGTCCTGAAAGAAACGAAACGGGGGACCCCGGGCGTGCACGTTTTGGGTGGGGCTGCAGCCAACTCCGAAAACCTGTTAAACATCAAACAGAAAACTCTGAAAAAACACTTCTCAAGCAATATCAAGCCCTATTGGATCCTGATCAAGCTCTAGACAGCACCATGAACAGACGTAAGACCTACCCCCTAGACCGAAAGGTTCGGCAACTTGACGCTTGTAGCTTTCGGAGCGTAGCGGATAGGGCTTGGGGTTCAGGGTTTAACTGAGTTAGTTCTGCGCATAGGTTTACATGAGGGCTCACGGTGTGAATGGGATGAGAGGGTCAGGCCCTGACGATGAAATGAGGGCTTGCCGTTGAAGGAGAGCTTAGGGCTTTGGGGTTCAAATTCTGAGGATTTCGAGCACACTTTGAATTCGACGGCTAGGGGTGGTTTAGGTTGCTTGCGGAGATTTTTTTCCATCCTGACGGCCGCTGGATGTTCATTGTGCTATCATCATCTTGATTGCATGTCTTCTGTATGTTTGTGATGAGTTCTCCCGGGTGCTTTGTTACTAGTTGTCAGTATGGTGTGATCTGTAGCTGTTTCAAAGTCTCAGTGTTCGCATCTCTCTTCCAGTCGTGCAGAGAGTCGCTTGTTGGTCCGTGCCAAGAGCAAGAGCAAGGTCAGGAAACTTGGGACCCAGACCCGGCCCTCCTCACCCCTGGAAGCTTTCTCGTCCCCCTTAGTTGCCCGATCTCTGGACTGGACCCCAAGCTGCAAGCCTTCAGGCCCATACTATATGGGGGTTTCCGAAAACAGGGGACCCGGATCTAGTACCCTAAATAGTAGGATCCTTACTATAAGGACCCCAAATAAGGTTCCCCTGATTTTCGGAAACTCCATATTATATCCTCAAGCTACAAGTCCACGAATCATAGCAGGTGGTGCAACGAGGCACCGAGCGCAAGCAGCTTCAGAAGAATCCGCACCTGGCCGGAGCCTCGAGAGAAGGACTTGAGAGGTTCCGAATTCTGGCCTTAAAGTACCGATATAGGGACCCCTTTAAGGCCTAAGTATCTACTGCACTTTGGATCGTTGAGGGTTTAGGGCTGAATGCCGCTTTGGGGTCTACTTTGCATGGTTTGGCTTGGCAAAGCTGCTTGTTTGCGACCTCCCCGGCTGCTGGCACAGGTCTTGCTCTCTGAAGACTTCTTCCACGATGAAACTGGGCCGCATCAATCTCAAATTTCGTCATGGCCTTTAGAGAGTATATACACATGTATTGTGTTTGCATGATGTGCTACTAGAACGTACGTGTACATACGTAACATGCCTACATCCACGCCATGTCTTTTTCACGCTTTTTTGGCACTCAACTACCGACAGGCTCCTTCAGGTAGCATCGCTGAGACCCCCCTGCCAGGCCTCAAGATTGAAATTACATGATGTGGAACCCCTTCATTTCCGCATCAGAACTCCCAAAGACCAGACCTTTTTGGAAGCCTCCCTTACTTGTGGACACGTCGAAGCCAACCAAGGAGATGAAACCGATTCTGTGCCAGTGGCTTTGCCCGGCGCCTGTTTCTGTTTGAGACCCCTGCTTGTGGAAACTACACCCGAGCCCCTAAGCCCGAAAGTCATGGAGTTTCGGGCTGCGACTTTGTGAGTGAACGAGACCCTCTGTTCGGCTGTCTCCAGCATGTTGTGATAGACTGCAAGCTTGCTTGCAACACTTTGTTACAGTTGTATACAGCCTGTACACGGCTATGCATAAGTGTTGACCATTGTACCTGTCAACAGCACATGTTTTTGCCACACGGTTTTGTTCACTCACCTCTTTGCCTGTACATGCTGTTATATACCGTTAGCGCTACTGTGAATTGTGAAAGTCTAAACGGGGCAGGGGGAAAAACCATGGACGGCGTTACCTTTCAGCGTTCAAGGCTGGGAAGCGGACGAATGATATTGAACACGGCTTAAAAAAGCCTCCATGACCTTGCTTGACAATGGCCGCAATTGGATCCAGGATCAGGGGTCTCAATA